GATTGATGGTAATTACATTGAGCTTTATGGGGAAATTTCCTTCGGGTTGCGACCAATTTAGGGTGCGACCAGAGTCACGGAACGAATTAAGTTCGTAAACCGAGGTTCCAATGTAATTCCAAAGTCTTATTGTCAAGTCAAAGTTTCAATATTCCAAATTTATCTGGACCCTTAGTCCATTTATAACTTTCTAAGATTAGAATCTTATTTAGCTTTTTGCTGTTTATTTCAAATTCTTTAAGTTCTTAAGCTTATAATTATTTTTTCAGAGTTTGAAGATAAACTCACCCAATAAAGACTTCTCAAACTTCTCATTCTGAAGTTTTGTAACAGCTTTAAAATGGTTAATAGGCAATTGATTAGAAAGTGAGGTTTGCGAACTTAGTGTCCTTTAAAAGGCTGCACCATGGTTGCAAGCAAGATGGCTAATCCCTTTGTCTCCTGATGCTCAAACCCATGGAAAACCACTGTCCTGTAGTCTCCTCGTGAGACCAGCTGTTTGGAGCACATGTGGGCAATCCCCTGTCTTCTCCTTATTTGGAGAGGTTCCAAGGAACTGGTCTACTCTCCAATTCCTTGGTCTTTGCTGTGGTTGTCGGCTCCACTTTTGCAAAGATGTCTTCAGTTTGCCATATCTCCCCCAGAAGTCCTGAGAAAAATGTAAGTTGTAAGATGAGCAATCATGAGCTGACAAATTTAATTTGTTTGGAGACCTCCAGCAGGTACCTAAATATCCTCCTTTCATCTCAAAGTCCCCTGCAGTGTCTTTTTTTTTTAATGTTTATTTGTTATTTCTGTCTGTTCTTTGTGCCAAAAGCTACCAAGGCAATGTACCAGGAATACATAAATAAACAATAAAACCATGAGCGCATAAAAAGAACAATATAATCTTAGAAGCATTAAAATCATAACATTCATTTAAAATGTACAGAAGTATTTCTTCCCATGTTTTCCAAAACCTGAGCACAGGTAGCTCAACTTTATGAGAAGTCCTATAGCTAACACCCCTGCAATCAGCTAGAGGAACTCCAAAATTGCTTCCAACACTTTTTGATTCTATGAGCATACTTGACTCACCTATTTCAGGACCTATCTACCATTTTCAGTTTGATCTGGAACTGGCTGGGTAGCTTGTTTAGAAACAACTAGATTTCCAGGCTTCAATAAATCTGCCCCTTAATGAATTGGTGCTCTAGACAGCAATCTGTAGAACACTCCAAATAAGCAATAATAGACAAGTGAAGCATAGCAGACAGACAAGAATGGAAATCCAGACATCTGGAAGGCTATCTCAGTCTCATAGGTAGGAAAGCTAGAGCTACTAAACAAAGCCTACTCGAATTTTTCAGAGCACTTGCTAAATTCTCAGCTGCTAATTGGACATCAGCTGGTCACAAAATGGTGACATGTAGAGCTGAGGTACTAAAGCAAAGAAGGCCAGCAAAACCCAATCAACAAATTCAATTCTTACCCTAGGTGAACATAAGGTTTTTTCCCCTCTACCCTGCTCCTTTCCTTGATTATCAGTCAATATAATGGCTCAACCAAAGATTGAAGTGGGAACAATCTAACCCCAATAAACCTGGCAATTGTCTAGAACTTACCTTCCTTAGTTGTGGATGAGGGGGAAAAAAAGAGAAAGAGAGAAAGAGAAAGAGAGAAAGAGAGAGAGAGTTTTAAATTATTTTTATTCCAGGTAGGCTGAGGCTTCAAATCTAACTTAACTCCTTTTCCTTGGCAGCTTCATTAGGAAGTGCAACCCATGTGAAATCATCATCTGGTGTCTCTCTCTTGCCAAAAAGGTAAATGTCTTTGAAATACATTGTCTCCAGTTGAGACTTAAAACTTTCTTGGGAAATATAAAATTATGAAAAAAGCATAATGCTCAGCTTGGCCATGACTGCAAAAGGTCTTTCAGGATGTGCTACTACTGACTTGCCTCTGTAAGCAGCAAAGCTAGAACTTTATGGCAGAACTGAGTGACAAATACACATTGTAAAGTTACTCTGGACTTTTTTGGCCCTGCAAAATGATAATTTTAATTATATTTTGTTGGGTATTTTGTTATTGTCTTAATTCCTACAATTTACCCAAAGAACAGGATAGTGTATAGATTGAATCTCTCCCATTGAAATCTATTTATATATGCCTTATATACCTGCAATCACATGTTTAATTTTCTTACTGAAATCAATGGGAAGTAAGATCTTTGGTTGGAATAGAGAGGACCCCTTTTTAAGAAACAAAAATCTGAAGCTTGCCTAACTACTCTTTGAATGTATGTTGATTTACTTCTCTTAACCAATATGGCTGGACATGTTTGTCACACAGAAGCCACAGCGTAATCATGCCAAAAGATCAGCTAATTCCTAATTCAGTTGTGAATCTAGCATTCCTTTAGCGTTACCTATCTCAGCTTTAAATTGTTAAATTTGTTTTTGTTTGCTTGTTTTCTGACACAGGGGATCAGTTTTTGAAATTGGGAAAAAAGTGTTTTAACAGCTTAGTATCTTCCCTTCTGGAGGCATGATGTCAGCACTTTCTCAATGGATGATCAATTTCTGCTGCAGCGTGTGTAAACTGAGGTCCTTGACTATCACCACAGCAAGTAACAGGGCTTTGACAGGAAAGATCTTTGGGGGCTACGTGATAAAAGTGTATTTTCCCTTCTGGGATGTTTTTTCTAATCATTTCTATTAACACTCTGAAAGCAGAAGCAAGCGAGAAAAGGAAAGGATAAAGGGAAAAGAAAGAATTGAGGATATGTCTTGTGTGCATACAGGGATAAGAACCAGTGCCAAATTTAGAGAGCCGCTGTAGTAAAATTAAAACAGCTCACACACACACACACACACACACACCAGGTATATTTTAAGATGAGTGGATGGGTTTGTATTTTATTATAGCAGCAAGTTATCATTTCAGATTTTATTTGTAAAAAATCACTGCTTATATCAGTTCAGAAGATGAAGCAGGTACTTGTAAAGGATAATGGCATTTCTGGAATGAGCAGTTACCTTAATCATGAAACACTGTTCCTTTACTCAACCTCCCTTGTCAGATCTTTCTATATCAGTGAACTTAACACAAAACTCCATCTTTCTTCAACCCCTCATCCCATCAGATGTCACAGGGTCAGTAGCCACTGTATCACTCTCTTTGTTTCTTCCAGGTTAAAAAAAAACCCAGAGTCTGCTCAATCTAACGATTTGGGGGCACCAACAGCAGTAGGACCATAGTCATTCAAAGGATCCAAACTTCCATCTAACAACAGATACTGGTGGGAACCTTAGGCAGAAGCATCCACAGCAAACCACTATGACACCAAAATAATGCCACACATGTGGCAATGCTATCCTATGCATGGCACCCTTATGTATTTGTATCCTGATGTCTGTCTCAAGCACACAAGTCCCAGCACTGGCATGATGATGCAGTCACACACAGTTGGTCATTTGTTCTGTTGATGGTGCCCATGATTTTAGAGAGAGGTTGTCTGAACTACAGTGATCATTAGCCTACGGCTTGAGTCCAAGGATTCTGGTAGTCCTGGGCTCTAAATTCCAATTGCCATTTTAATTCCATACAATTGCCTACAGAAATGCTGCATGGAAGGAACTGTGAGAAGACAAGATGAGGGTTAGATGCAGCGGTCTGAGGATACTCAGAGGATTGATGTTGCTTATTGCTCCTACCAGGAAAAGCTAGCAAGTTCCACAGTTGAAAGAGGAGAGCCAGCCGAGGAAATTTTATCCAGGGGCCCCTCAAATATGAAGGACTCTTACAGGTCCTAGAACTTACCTGGACATGTCTGTTGAGATGACATTCCATCTTCCCTAAACATTTTCCACATATAACCTTTGAGTCCAGGAAAGGGGAGAGGAGAGAGGAATAATGTCCTGGTCTTATTAAAAAATGCTTCAGCATGAGAGACTTAGAAATCTCACCTTTACCTCTGTCCCAGAATTATGGGGTTTAGTGATCTCCTTCCATGGAGCATTCTCATCACACAATAGTATATGCATAAAAATTGGATTCTTGGTGTTCTCTGAGCTTGGTTGTTTTTCTGCAGACCCTTCAGTGCACTGATGATGTTCACTAGCCTGGTAAAGAAATCTCTGCAGGAAAACAGCCAAGCTCAGAGAACACCAAGAACCCAACCATTCAACCCTGAACTACATACATTCTCTACTATTGGATGCATAACTATTTCTGGATGAATTAATCCAATGAGTCACATTGAGAAGCCACAGATCCATACACTGTTTCCATTTGCATACAGAAAGAGGGTCAGCTTATGTTCATGAAATTATTACGATTACCCACCTAAAAACCAGCATCACTACACAGGATTGCCAAGGTTGAAAAACACTGGATTAGAGACTATTGGAAGTATGGCTTGTGGCTGGCTGGGGAATTCTGGGAGTTGAAGTCCACACATCGTCAAGTTGCCAAGGTTGAAAAACACTATCTCTCCACCTTTCCCGAGCCCAGGCTCTCGCCACTCAGCTGCTTTTCTGTATTTTGGAAGGAGGGGTGGAATCAGCTATACTAGAAAGAAGCTAAATTCAATCTGATATGATGAATATATGTCCTGAAGGTGCGCATTGTTGCACATTTATAAACAATCCTAGATCCTGTATCTACCAAGAAATTTGAGATACTGTAGATGGCAAGGAAATATTTTTCCTGCAAGTTTCTGTTTCATTTGTAAAGGGATTTTATGTCAAACAACTACAGAGCCTAATGAAATGTGCTTGTTTTCTTTCTCTGCAGCCACAGCCTGGATTGCATTTACAAAACATTGCTTGGTGTCCGTTGATAGGTCGAAGATCTTCACATCAAGCAAGCAGTGCTTACAATCCACGCTTCCTGTTAACATAGATATTAAACGATTCTTTTTGTATTCTCTCTTCACACTGAGTATGCTTTATATTTAGATAAAATCTAATAACCATTTTAGTACATTACTAGAATGAATCAAAACCAGAAGCTTTACCTGCAGGAATTGACTGCCACTTACATTCATTACAACTGAAAAGGGTTCTGAATATGAAAACATTTATCATTTATCACTCTACCAACTTCATTTCTAGTATACGAATAGCATATTGCTAAAGTCTCTCTCTTAATGCTTTTCTTAATTTCAGAAACCACAGCTATCAGCAGTGGAGGTACTTTCTGCTCATTTAGTTTGTTTCCAAATGAAGAGCAAATTGAAATCCGCAGAAGATTGGAAGAGCTAAAACATTCTCTATTATCTGATCATTCAAGCCTGGTCTCATTAAAAAAACTAGGTTCATTCCAGCTGTTAAGCTGTGGCTATAGAGGCCTAGACACAAAGCATGTCCTCATCTACAAAGGATCATGTAGCTCCTTCTGATGATTTGAATGAGATAAAACCAGGTAGTGTAGATAACACTGAGCCTCAGCCCCATCTTTCTTGACTCAGCTGAATAAAAGAACCAGATGCTGGGGGGAGAGTATATTTATCAAAGTTACTTATCCAACAAGGTGACAGAGGCATGAATTCCAGCCTTGAAATTGTCCATCTGCAGCTGAACATTACATCTGAAATGGTGCTGAAAGCTCCACACCCCTGTGTTTTTAGTGATGACCTTGCCTGGTGCTCCAGTCTTGAAAAGACCTCTCCAAAATGTTACCACCCTGAGAATGACCACTTGGCTCTATCAAATTAGTCAGGAACACTCACCTAAGTTTATCAGCAAGATGCAAACCAGCTAATACCCCAGGGAAAGGGCTCTGAGAGTCAGGTGGACTAAGGAGGTAGATAGAGTGTGCCACCTTGCACTTCTTAAACTCAGCCATTGCCTCAGCTCTTTGTGTCTTAGATGTTCGGTAACTTCCCAAAGTTAACTAATAACTTTTTGGATAAAAGTTCTTCGGGTTCAGATCTCCCTTCAGATCCAGGGAACCAAGTGCTCCTGAAAGCCATGGTTTGATTATGAATGCTAAAGCAAGAGCCAGATTAATTGAAGGTTTTAGAAAGTACAGAAAGTCTCCTGGCAAAAGCTTGTTAACAAAGGAAAATAATTCTACTGCTTTGAGTCAATCTTTTGTCCCCTCATTTCCAAAGGTCTCTGTTGACCCTCATTGCCTGATTTCTCTTGAGATCTTGGCCAGATACTTTTGTGTCTTAGTGTTGTCCCAAAGATCCTGATTTCATTGGATCACTGCCTCAGTGCCACAGCCAACTGACCTCCATTGTCTCCATTTGGGGCTGCTGAGCTTATCTGACAGCTCAAAAATGGCAAAGGAGCCAGAGGTGATTTGATCCTAGCAGAAATGCTCAAGGCAGACATGCACTGGTAGTTCTATCCTTTGACTGCCACTCTTGAAAAATTAATGGCACTGTTCAAATTAAGATTTGAAAATATTCAGGCAGATTCTTCCAGGCTTCAACAGCTTGGAATCAACAGCAAAGGGATGTTATGGCTAGGGCTCAAAGATGGTCAAATGCAATTTTGTCTTTTGCTGACCTTAGTAACAATAACCCTTTCCCAGCTGCAATGAAGATCTTCAAAGTCATCAGCTCGTGTTACACCGTGCAGAGATTTGTGACTTAAGCACTACACAGGGAGATCAATCTATTTTTTTTAGAACGTGGACTATTGCCCCATTGCACATCCAATTTCCTGCTGAGAGTGGAATCTGCCCTAATCTCTGTGGAGACCACATGTAGCTTTGCCCTTTGAAATATTGGATTAAATTAATATGGATTGATTGGATTAATATTTGCAGGATATTATCTTTCTTTCATTAATGTTAAACTTCATTTTGAAATTGGGTAACCTCACCTAGAAAACTGGGCTGAATATTATCTCTGGAACAGGAGGTAGTAATGTTGTCATTTGGGTTTCATAGCAGAAAATCACCTTAGAGATGGCAATGAGATTATCTGGGGAAAGGATTCAGACACACACACACACTTCAGTTCTTGAAATGGGGCTTTATACATTATTGGGGTGCAAATGTCTCTCAATTTGTGTGAAAAAGGCAAGGTTTTATGCTGCCCTATTTTGCTTTTGTTGGGTTTTATAGGCCGCATTAGAAAATTTAAAAATTAAAAAAAACAAACTTCCTGTTGATTTTCTGCAGTGTAGTGCTTCCAATGGATGATATTTATGGCAATTTTGGATGAGTTGCAGAAATAAATTTAAAGGAATTCTATTCTTTTCAGCATGCAATCATTTCTTTTGATAAACATTGGATGGATTTTTTCAACTGTTCAATTAACTGATGAAATGAAAAAACAGAGTTTTGAGACACTTTAAATACCAACAAGTTTATTATGGCACAGGCTTTCATGGATTTCAGTTCACCATACCACTATATGGAGTGACATTGCCAGTTAGGAATAAATGTGCATCAACAGAGAAGCAGACATCATAAGTAAAACAATAAAATCAAATTGAAATTTAATGCACTAGGCACAGAGAGTAATAATTATCACCATGGCCATTTACAAGATAGCTCCACAATTCCCAAACTCTGCACTGCTGCACCCAGGATGCTGCAGTGAACTCACAGGGGCATCAGAGGATAACACAATGATATTTGACAACTGTCCGACATTGTGTGAACTACAAACCTAGGGGCAGTGTGAAAAACTTATTGAGACACTAAGGCGCTTTAAACCAAGAACATTTGGGAATCTCTGATATAGCTGTTGGTTATAATATGGACCTTCCTGCATTGGTGAGTGTTGGCCTGCGGGATAGTTCAGCCAAGAAGCACAACTAGGAGTACTAGCTCTATCTTTATTGCAAGACTGAATCTGAATCTTGCAAGACTGAAAGTATTTCTCCCCTCCTTTCCTTTTACTGTCGAGGAAACTAGGGGGGGTCCCTTCTGAAACATTTCCCATGCCCTTCATCCTCCTGTGGGCTCTTTCACATGCCGGTTGTCCAGCCTATGGCTCTATCTCCTGTCTCCCGAGGTCATTCCCACATACCATTATAGTGAGTGACTGGATTCACTCATCATACAGCTCCTAGAGTAGGCAACCCATGGCCAATAGGCGTTATGTTCATTTATTCTGCAGCCCCCAGAGCACCTGCCAATTGTGCTCTGAATTTCAATGACAAAAACACTAATTTTCAAGCATCTCTTTGTAGTCTTTAAGCCCATCTGCACTTAAGGAGAAAACCTGACCAGAGAGCTTGGCCTAGTAAAATGGTTTCATCTTGCTAAAAACCACTGATCTGCTGCAAAGAAGCACAACTATTAGGAACAGCTTATGCAGCTCAGTAAAGCAGAAGTGAAACCTCCAGGAGCAGTTGTGAGAACACTTGCTGACACTGCATCTGCTGCTATGAGATAAGGCAAAGGGGACTCTGGGTTGTCAAGGAAGGGGTGCTGTGGATATTGTTATCTGACCCAATTTCTGGCACTACTATACAAGTTGCCTCTTCACCCTTGCCAAGTGGGCAAAATCTTGTATCCTCCCCAGTGTAATTACAATAAACTTGACTGAAAGCAGCGTGTGTGTTCTCCACTCATGAAAAAGGGTAAGGGGCTAGTATTTTCCCCTTCAGCACTCCAAAAGGTTTGGGCTCTATCGATTATAGAAGCTAAACCTTAACTTTTAAAAAAATGTAACCTTGATTTCAAAAAGTTTGCCCACTCTTGTACTAAGCCATAGCTGAGCTCACGTAACACAATATAAATCACAGTAAGTGACCTCATATACACACACAGTCAACAACCAGCAATTGAACCAGCAATTGTATAATGAGTAGTCTTTGTCTCTGAGCCATGGGAGATAGAATTGCAGCTTGGCTGTTTAATTTGAGATCTGCAGTTCCTTTCTCCAAGGATGGCTGCCTTACAATCAATATCAGAAAGTCATGGGAAATTACAGTACAGAATTTGCCCCCCCCCTCGACCCACATTTTTTAAGATTGTCATTTCTGATATCAGATGTTTATTCTTTTGTATAGAAACTGAGTTTGACATACAGACTCCTATACAGAGTACCAACAGCATCAATACACAATGCAATATATTAGGTGGGAGAGGAAGCAGATATGCAACTCCACCATGCTTTGTCCAATGCTATTGGAACCTGGAGTAGTACTGCCAGACTAGATATGATTGCACCTTTGAACAACTATCTACTGCATTGTTTGGTTCCTGTGGTGGTACCTTAAACAGCATTTTTAGTTTGGCCAGGCTGTCTATGAGCTAAAGAGGAGGAGGCTCATTTTCCAGGATGAGATGCTAATTGCTGATAAAACCCTTGATTGGTTTTAGCTAGGAAATATGTAGCTGACACCCAGTTATGTCCTTAAACAATCATTGCCCACTGGCCCTTGTTATGAGTGAGAAGGATTCTTAGCATTTGGAAAATGTATACTGTATTCCGTATTACACAAACGCTGATAGATATAAATGGTTAAATCTGGAAAGCGATCCAGAAAATAGTCTGCCGGGTCCCGAATTATGTCTTTCACCCTGAAATGAAGGAAAATACAGTTTTTAATATAAGCAGTATGCAAGCACTAGTTAGTCCTGTGTTAAAGAAGAAGGTGAAGCATAGCTGCCAAAACATGAATGCCAACTTGCTAAGATGTAACACAATTGTCAGTCAAGGAAAATATAATTTTTTTGCATCTGTGGACTATACATGCTGTGAAAGACTGCATAGCTGTTAGAATCCAGGAATTTCCTAAGAGCTGGCCTGGTAATTTTATTTTCTTTTTTTCTGAGATCATAATGTAGAGCCCCCACTGACAATTCACTCAGCAATCAACTCAAACCACTACTTCACTAGTCTTATTTGCTTTAAATACCCTGCTCTCAAGTTTACTGTATCCTGCTAGCCAATAGCATGCCAATCACTTTGATCCTTCAATGCTGGAACATTTTCCCATAGACATGTTTTTCTAATAACACACTCCCGTTTCTCAAGTTTCTGCTGTTGCAACCTACACCTGTGTAGACACTTGTTTTCCAATCCTCAAACTGCACTAAGTCCTTCCCCCGTTTTCTGCTTCTTGGGCTTTTCCCCCACAACCTCACAGTAACATTTTCCTCCCATCCTTGAGAGGGGAAGAAAACACACTGCTTCAGAAACCACTGCCCTCCTCCCCACTGCTCTTCTTGCCAGCCTGCAAAACAGGCCAGCAAAGTTGTCCTACTGTGGGGGAAGACTGGAGGTCATGGCAGGTGCAGGGAGGGGAAAAGGGGTCTGCTTTGTTTTTTCTCCTCCCCAGCATATATGGAGACTTCCTACAGAGGAGAAAAAAATTACAGGTTTTTCTCTGTTCTTCTGTAGAAAAAACCTGTGGTTAACAGAGAGGAGAAAAACCTAGGCAGGAGGACATCCCTTGGTAAGTGGAGGCAGCGAAGGTTACCAATAGGAATAGAAAGTTGGTTGAACACCTTCCACAAGGTCACAATTCCTATGTGAGATGAGGAAGAGGAGCCACAGAAAGACACAGTCTGTAGCTGGATGGGAGGGGCAGCCCTGGAATGATCCAATTGGAGCCAGGCAGGTCACTGGCCTTCCTCAGGCTCCTCCCCCATGTGAATCAGAATGTCCACCTAGGAAGTTGCACTGAATTTTCCAACAGAAAAGACAACTTTCTCGCTGGACCACTTTGATCAAGCTTCAACCTTGGTCAGCAGCATGCTGGCCAAAAGATGAAGGCCCTGCTGGGAAGGCATCTCCCACACAAAGTTGTCCTGTGCCTGACTGCCTTACCCTTTTTTTGTATTTTTTTTTCCTTTTCCCCCTTTTGCAGAATTTTCCCCCTTCAGAGGGGAGGGATTGCTTAAACAAGCTTTCTCTTCCTAAACTGCTTTTCTTCCCAGAGTTTCCCTAAAAGGGGCTAACCCCAGGTTAACAAGCTCAGCTCTGTGACCTTAATTAGTTAATTAGCACCCCCTGGACAGCTTGGTGTCTGAAATTGGCAAAACCCTAATCAGTTTCACCCTAGAGGCTTTCTTTTGCCTCCAAAGCAGCCAGGCGCACCCTAAGCAAATAGCAGGCATTCATTCTTTTCAATGTGTATTCCCCACTGTGTGTCTGCTTACTCTCTTGTAACCCCTTTCTCTCCAATGAGTGTAAATACAAACATTCATTTCCCCTTGCTAATCATCCCAGAACTAAGGTGAGGATTCCAAAAGGCAGAGGAGTGGGGAAAAAAGGCTATAAGATTTACCCCTTTTTCCCAGCTTCCTCATGAGTCATGTTCCGGAAACCTTTCCCACCTTTTGGGGTTGTATCCTTCTGATGCTATAAGTATGTTCAGGGGCAATTTCTTAATAAAGCTTTTTCAAGAATTATTACTGTTCTGGAGCCTCCCTTAGTATTCTTATTCTTTGGTATGCATCCTGCAAATGCTAAATTAAGCATCGATGCACAGATTAACAGCAACAAAAGGGTTAACAGGCAATTTCATCACCAGGGCAAGAAGGATAAAGTCTTAGTGTCCCTACTTCCTCTGACCTGAAGTTAAAATCAGACTTGTTCTTAAGCTTGTATGAACATGCATATGGATTTTTTAAAATCAAAATTATATTTTGTTCACACAGCATGTTTACTATAATTATTCCACAGATAACGGGCAACATTTTTTTTTTAGAAATACCATGCTTCTGAACAGTCTATTACACCATGCCAGTTATATATTCAGCATCAGATATTTCTTTGGAGTTGCCCCAAAAAATCTATATAGAAATAAAATAGATTACAGGAGATGCAATGTCAATCATCAGAATCTCTCCTGTCCTTTCTGTCATCCCCTCACCCCTGGAAAGCTCCCTTTCTATTCTAAACCAATCAGTTTATTTCCCACTTGGGAATTTATGTTTGACTCAGAAGGTCCATCTTCTAAATTAAATTAGAAATTACATTCTGAACACTTAAGATCAGAGGGACATGAATAGCATAGGGAGGATTAGTATCCAAAACTCTTGGGAAAGGGGCTTCTAATAGCTCTCTGGAGTCTGTCACTACCACTTCCTCTCTGATCTCAGTAATAGTTGCAGTTGGGTCCAAGACCAATTCTGAGTCCAGGATATTGAAAGAATTGTCATTCCCCTGACTTTTTCCTCCTGTTGCATGCAAAGGGGTGGATCTCTCTGCAGCTGGACATAAACAATGAAGGTAAGTTTTTGAACTATCTTTCTTCCATGTTTGGAAGGAGAAGCAGATGTTGCCACCCAACCAATCCAATGTAGAAGGCCTAGGAGGTAATACAATTTAGAGAAAGGTTTACTTACTTGTCATCCTTCTCATTGTAGTGCTCACCCATATTCCTAATCAACTTTAGTAACTCTGTTATGCAGGGGCCATAACTTCGTTTGTTGCCCTTCTGATTCCCCTTCTGTCCCTTCTCAGTGGACAGAAAAAACATAGAGTCCAGTACTGTTTTATCAATCTGAAAAAGATACTTATTTTGGTCAGTAGTTGGTCCATAAAACTCACTCTTTGCAACTCAATATATACCAATATTGGCTTTTGGGTGACTAGACATTCACCCAAAACACTAGACGTGGCAGACTAGACATTCCTGAAGGAACAGGGATGACATTGCAGCAGAGATCAGTAGCCAGATGGTGAATTCTGGCCAGCACAGTCTTTCTGGATAAAGGTGAGATTGTGAGATCACCCACTTGCACTCCAGACATCTGTTTCTCATGACAAGACTTTAGGAATGAGGTTTTTGCAGTCAGCTCATGAGTTGAGTGGCTGGGAATCAAGGGGTTTCAATCAAGCTCACAGCTGTAATGCAGCTTATATGGACACAAGGTCCACACAAGCCTCACTTTCTTAAACACTTTCAGATGTAATTAATTTACAATTAAAGAGAGATTTTCTGAGCGGCAGGATAAGAGAATTCCACCTGGCAAGTCAACATTCTTTATGGATTATAAAGGGGAAAAAAAGGTTTTAAAGATTTAAAAACTTTTGGCAAAAAGCCTAGCAAGGAGTAGATGTAAGAAAGTTTAAAATGGATAAAGGGGACAGTTACTTTGAAAGATTGTTTTTTTGGTGAAAGTGCTTTTGAACAAATTGGAATTAAAATAGACAAATGAAAAGGACCTTCATGGGAATGTTTTTTTTGTTTACTATTAAAGAGTGCAGACTATTGGTGGATTTTACAAAACAAAAGATAAAAGTAATATGAGCCAGACTGTGATGCTGAGTGTAACTACGGAGTGCCATTTGAAATGAAAGTATTAAGCGCATAGCAAGACAAAATAGAAAAAAAAATGGGGGAAATCTTATCTTTTACTCTTGCCATTGAGACACTTTCACTTTTGTATTACAATATTACAATGTCAACCACCAGAAAAGTGGCAAAAACAGCAGAGGGGAGGAAAGGATTGCTAGAGCAACCTATAGAGAGGGGAATTACACCAAATTTACTTCAGAAAATGTTTAAGGAATTGTCAATAAGTTAGCTAAATTACTTGATACTCAATTGGCAGCTTTTGAAAAAAGAATGGATCAGAGACTTGTAAAGATGAAAAAGGAGTTGAAAGAAGTTAAGAAGATGGAAAGCTCTATAAAACAAGGAGATGTAAAATAAATTAATGACAAAGTAGAATTGCTGGAGAGTAAGACAGAAGTTATAGACAGCTGAAAACTAGATAATTTGCCACTACTGAAACTGAGACAGAAGAAATTTTAATTGAGATTTAAAGCAACCCCAGAGGGTTCTGGTGAAGATATTAGAGAAACTATTATTAAAGCTTTAGCCATTTTTTTTGGATTGGGATGAGGAGGATACAGAGGCAGAAACGGATAAAGTATATAGAATAAATACAGTATTTGTGAGAATAAGAAATGTTCCAAGGGATGTCTTGGTGCACTTTGTCAGGAAGGATACAAGAGATTAAGTTTTGCAGCAGCATTTTATACAAGACTGAAGATCAATAATACAGATGTAATTGTTCTTAAAGAAATTCCTATTAGAATCTTGCATAAGACAAACGAGTATTCTTTTTGACTGATAGATTAAAAACAGAAAAAGATTCCATTTTGATGGGACAAATTGGAAGGTGTGATTTTTACTTATGTAATTGTTCTTAAAGAAATTCCTATTAGAATCTTGCATAAGACAAACGAGTATTCTTTTTGACTGATAGATTAAAAACAGAAAAAGATTCCATTTTGATGGGACAAATTGGAAGGTGTGATTTTTACTTTTAAACAGCAGAGGTTTCAACTGAATTCTGTCCAGAAGGTGAGGGAATTTTTAGAAAAATTTAAAGAAGAATTGGAGGAGATATAAATGAAGGTGTCAGATAAGACTACACAAAAACTTCAACAGCTGCAACAGAGAAGTGAAAGGAATGATATTGAACTAGGTACTACAGGCATTGACTTTTCTAAATAAATATATTTTCTAAATATATACAAGATATAATTTGCCTACAAGAGACACATATTAGGAAAAAGGACCTAAAATGTTTGATTTATAAAAATTTGGATGAAGAAATTATTTCAGTAGGAATTAAAAAAAAGAAATGGAGTTGTTTTGTATATAAATCCACAACTAAAACCAAAACTTGTATTGACTGAGAAGCATGATAGATTTGTTGGGATAGAAGTTAATTTGCATGGGACTAAGACTCTGATACTGGAATTTATGCCCCAAATAAGGATAAAGTACTGTTCTAATAAATGACTTATGGAGAGACTGGTAGATTTATTTTATGAAAATTGGTGTCTGATGGGGGATTGGAATGGAGTGATCTCCCCATAGCTGGATAGAACTTCTGAGAAAAATATTAAAATCACTCAAGGCAAATTACCAAAAGTTTTCTTTGATCTGATGGACAATTTAGGGCTGGTTGATATACG